TTTAGTTAATCCATTCCGTATGTATGAATGGGTTGGAATTAGCGTTTTGATCTAATTCGTCCCTCCGTATCCCACTGTCCTATACCGGTGTATACCATGCAAATGATCCGTAATGATGCAACATTTTGAGCAGTTCATCAAAGAAAGTCCACATAATCCATATAGTTGATAATACAGAATTTAAACAGTTTATCCACTAACAATCCAGAATCCATCCATCTACCAACGAGACAAAGTTTACTAAATCATCAAGTTCAAATCCAGCATTCATCCCGTTAATTGACAGAAAATATATATATATAATGCTTCAATTAATTCTAGTCTGACATCCAATTAAATTGACAACACAGGTAATAAATGCAATTATCAGCTATATAACCTATCCTGCAGTAATCCAACATTCACAGTTGACCATACAAATAATAAATGTAATTATCCACTCTATAGTATATCCAACAAGTCCATGGTCACTCAATAAATTGTAAATATGAATTGCTTCACATTATGCATGACAAAAGCTTGTTAATTAGCAAACTTATTTAGCCCTACCTCAACCAGTACCATAGTTTTTAATACATATTAAATATATATAAACCTTAAATGAATCCAAATAAACATGATAGATTTGTTTTACAAACTTGCATACTTATCCTATACTACTCCACCATTGTCCAAGTGTGAACAATACACTCAATGTAAATGCACACCTTCCATCCCTTACAGGTATGTAATTCATTCTGTAGTCCTACATGCCTATAATCCATCACAGAAATCTGAACAGAGCCTAACTCCATTCCCAAATAAACTGCTACAACTAAGGCTGTGTGGTTTAGATCCTAAGTCCCAAAATAGTTTACTAGTTTGCTTAGAATTTCTTTATTGTTCCAAACAACATTACTGGTTGATTGAATACGAATTAATGAGCCCTCTAAAGACCTAAATTAATCCCACTCATCAACCCGAAATCCTATTTACAGCTCCTAAACACCTCCGCCATAACAAAACCAGCCCCAGAACTCTCAAAAACTCACAAAACTGGAAACACACGAGGAGAGCAGGCTCCTACAAGGTGGAGCCGCCTCCACCAATGCTTGAGCCGGCTCCAGACCATGGTAGAGCCGGCTCCACACCATGTAGAGCCGGCTCCATGGTCTTTTGGAGCTGCCTCCAGTTCTCCCTCTCCTTTATTTGTTTGCTTCTTTTCCATTTGCCTGCACTACTTCCGTCCTTCTGTGTTACAGCTTTTAACACCCTTGTTTGTGTTCAAAACCACCCAGAGGAAACCCATCTAACCCCTTCTACCATTAATTAACAGTAATTTAAAAGAACAATTGCACAGTTAAATCCAAAACAAATAGTTCGTAACAAGTTCCAGCACATACTGTTATAAGGAGTTCTAAACATGCAGAGTCAGTTTTAAATTTCATTTAACGATTTCCTGGAACTACTTAGGCATGCAAAGAACACAAGTAAAAGGGAAAGAGATGAGGTTAGAACTTGCCTTTAGCTTTTTTCCGTCTCAATTCTCCGGCGACACCTTTGTTTATCTCTTTGTTTCCTCCCAACTGCTCCAAAACTTCTCACCACCTTATTGTGTCGTAATGGTATTCTAAAACCCTAGGCAAACCCCTTAGATGAGTATATATAGGCAAACTAACCCTAGGCTCACATAAAACCCTAATATAACTCACTCGGCCCATAAACAAAAACCTACAATTAAATTCCATTTAATAAAACAATAATAAATCAATTAAATCAAATTATCCAATTAAGTCAATTAATGCAAATAATGTTAAATAATTCAACTAAGGCAATTAAACCAAAATAATAAACGCAAATAAATAATTAACAAATAAATCAATTAATACACACAAATAAACAATTTGCCACATAAGCATTTATTCATAAAATTAATAAATAAAATAAAAATGCACATAAAATAACATTTAAATTCCAATTTTATCCCTTTTTAAAGTAGGGGTATTACAGATGGATCGGTGGAAGGAGTGGTATCAGAAAGGGTAGCGGAGAAAGATGCTGAAGCCGGTGAAGAATTTGATGCATGGGTGATAGCAGGCCTAGGGGCAGTTTTCTTCCTGCCGAAGGAAAGGATCTGGAGTTAGCTCATTGTCCTGCCGAGGACTGAAATATCAAAGAGATTGTCTGAGGTGAGAAGGTCCGAGCAGGAGGGAACGTTAGTCAGAACGTACCGCTTCAAGTAGTTATCCCTATCCCTGCACACACTGTAACTCAAATCATCACAAGGAATGCCTAAGGAATAGCACAAGAAAGTACAAAAATGAGGAATGCAAATCTCGTAAGGACAGTCGCTCTTATGGTTTTTATATTTCTTGTAAAAAGAGACAGAGCACTCTCCAAAAGCGCTCGGGATAGGGAAATCCTCCGCAGTTGGAGAGAACCAGGCTCCCCTAACCCCAATAATGTTTTTCCTCCAACCCTTCTCGGATTTGATCTTATCTGTGCAGATGGACCTCTTCTCAATGGGGAAAAAGTGGTAAAACGGTTCGTCAGTTCTGATCTTGCTGACCTTGTAATAGAGGAGAAGATCTACGAGGTCCAGATCCAGACCTCTGTCACGAATCAGGAGTAGCATAACGGATAAAATCCTAAGGAAATTGGGGTTTGCTTGTAAAGGGGAAAGATTTAGCTTGTTAAAAACATAGCAAAAGAAAGGATGTAAAGGAAATCTAAGGAGATTGAGGTGGAGGAGTGAAAACAGGGCCTCGCCGGGAAGAAGGCCAGCACCGGTTCTAATATTTACTTCTCGGGGGCAGTTTCTAATTTCTACATCGTCAGGAAGGTGAAGTTTCATGCGAAGGACGTCTAGATCTACTGTCGTGGTGAGAGTGGATGAGGATTCCGGGGAGGAGAAAGAAGTCTTCCAAAAGAAAAATGCAAATGAAACTAACCTTAGAGAGTGCAAACGGCAGAAAGTATTACAAAGCCACTGGAAGGAAGATCTTTCGCAAGAGATCGCCGGAGAGGATTCAAACAGCAAAAGGTGAGATGGAGACGGTAAAGAGGATCGATGGAGAATCAATGGAGCTTATAAAGACGAGAAGAGCCCAAGGGCCGAGGAGTCAGGAAAGCAATGAGTTGTCTTTTTGAATTTCGAAGCGCCGACCCCTGGATCTATCCATCCATTCTCCCACACGATCTCCTCGAGCCGTCAGGTCATCATTAGCAGCCACTAATAATTACCCCCTAATCAAAAAGGGGTAATTATCGGGGCAGTTGAGGATGCGGCAAGTGGCATGGGCCGGATATGGTTCGCGGGAGTGAGATCGGGTCGAATGATTGAAGTAGGATCCATGACAAAGCGCCCTGGAATGGCCAAACCTAAGGGATCCACCGAGGAAGGTCAAGCCCATTGGAAGACCAAGCCCAGAAGGAAGAGAGCTTTCGAATATAGGCCCAATGTAATTGGTTAGCAGCAATAAGGGTGATGGCCTATAAATAGACCATGACAGGTAGAAAGTGAAGGGAGAATGCTAGAGAGAGAGAGAGAAGGAGAAGAACCGAAATCTTGTACCTTCAGTGTGACTTGATTATATGATTTTAAGAGGGATATTTTGTTATTTCTTCCTAATAAGAGATTGGAGGAGCATTTTTTCTCTTAACGATAATTGTTGACGCATTTGTAATTAATTTGCTTAAATCAATCAAAGTGAGAAATAAACAATAGGCCTACATATGATGACAAGCGAAGTATTAAATGAGATTTGCTCATTTAAATTAAAAAAGCTATTATGATAAAATAGTGAAATGGTTGTATATATGATATAAAAGTCATTACAATCCTTAGTCTAAAAATTAGAATTAAATTAAAGTTTTTTAATACTATTGCTCAATACATGTATATACATAAAAAAATTTAAGTCGTACTCGTATCCAATATTTTAAAAATTTAACATGTCAACATATCTATGGCCGTATCCATACTACATAGCTAGATAGGTTCTCAAATATATGCAGCCAATGACAAAATCAAACATCACCATAATAATTAATAATATAACACAAGTAAACCAGGTCAAAATGTCACACTAAAGGCAATTAAGCTACTGTTGTCTTTCATAGCTATTCTTCTTCTCACCAGGTCTCAAAGAAACACCTCCTTATGGCTATATAGACTACGGACCGGTTTATGAACCTAGCTTGGCCGATAAGCTTTGTCATTTATACACTTAGTATTATTGTAATGGGCTCGTGTTAGCTTGTCGTGTTAAGTATAGTATATAATGTTTGGTGATTCGTGATAGCTTTGTGGTGTGATGTGTCAATTATTGTCACCCCATCTATAAGCAGCTCTTTACTTAAAATTGTGTGGCCAGTTATTTCCATTATGTCTTACAAAGCTTCAGAAGCCAGAAGTTTATTTATTTATATTTGTTATTATTGAGATGAAGGGCTTACTAAAGTATTTTTGGAATTTTTTTTTTTTTTAATGTTTGGTGATTCGTGATAGCTTTGTGGTGTGATGTGTCAATTATTGTCACCCCATCTATAAGCAGCTCTTTACTTAAAATTGTGTGGCCAGTTATTTCCATTATGTCTTACAAAGCTTCAGAAACCAGAAGTTTATTTATTTATATTTATTATTATTGAGATGAAGGGCTTACTAAAGTATTTTTGGAATTTTTTTTTTTTTGAAAGTGAAGTCGGTTTAATTGAATTCATATGGAGTATTAAAGATAAAATGACAGAGGGTGTGTGAATAAAGAAATACGCACGAAAGCAAAAAATATCAAATACAAAATAAGATCTAAGAATCAAGAATTTGTGTAGTCTAGGGATGTTTTTGTAATTTACTTTAGAAGAAAATAAGAGTGGGCCGCAATATTGGGCCTAATAAGACAACAGCCTAGCCCAGAACTAAGATATCTGGGCCTATTGGATAGAAACAAGGACAGACTACTGGGCCTCAGGCCCAAATGATCATCATCACTTTAACAGTCGCACAAAACAATAGGGTTTTAGATTGTTCTGGTTTTTCGAATCCAGAGAGAGGGTTTCATTTCAAGTGTAAGACCTCAACCAGAAAAAATGGCGTCCAATTCTGGAAGACGATTACTTCAGAGGTCAACAGAGACGGTTAGGGCATTGCTAAGTCGTAGCCAAAGAGCTCAATCAACTCCATTTAATCTCAGCGGGCTCGCACCCACCAAACCTACTCCTTCCTCTCGCCTCTCTGGTCAAAATCATTCGTTCTTCTTCTCCAGGTTCATATCTATACAGACACATATATATATGTTTAGTTGATGTGTTTATTAGTACCCATTCATTGCTTATGATCTTCTAGTATTTCTAGAGCATTATTGAATTAGTATGCTTTATATCTGCTTTGAGATTTGAATTGGGTGTTTTTGTTCATAGTTTGGGTATGTGATTAGGTGTTTCTCTGTGTGTTGTTTGTGTGAAATGGGTTTTGAAAGTTTTAAGTTTTGGCATCAGTGTGATTATTCATTATTGAAGTTAAGGTTAATGTGAGTGTGTAAATGTTGAATGAAGGCTTCCAGTGGAATTGGGTTGTGCTGAGTCTTTGATGCCTCTGCACTCAGCCACTGCTTCTGCCTTGCTAACGTCCATGTTGTCTTCAAAGGTTGGCCAATGGGGTACTCTCTCTGAAGGTAATTTCTTGAAACTATAGTGTTTTGTTTTTCTTCTTATCGTGTCCAATGGTTAAATTTGATTCTCATATGCATTTTGTAAATACATATATTTTTGTAAATACCTCTTCTGTTTCTTTTTTTGCCATATGCTTCTAGAAAGTGTGGTTTTGCATATATTAGATGGTTTCTCTGTGTTGAAAAATAGTGAAACTTTGAATGTGTTTAATAATGTAGACTTTGCTTTGGCTTTCATGGTGATCATTCCAAGAGTCTCCAGATAGAATTTAAGGCAATGTTTTTTTAGAGAGTGGCAATTGGAATAGAAACATAAAGACAGGAAAGGTAGCAAATAGCTTAGCACAGGCCTAAGCAGTTTATGTTTTAAAGTCTGAAGAGTTGAGAAAAGAAGCTAAACACAATCCAAATTTTAACATTCAGGCATAAGAAAGTAACACCAGAGAGTAAAAGCTGATCGACCTTTTACTCACCTCTTCAATCCATTTAAATTGTTGTGCTTCCTTTACTCAATTAATAGTCTATTATGACATTGCCAAGTAGCCTATGATGACATTGCCACTTGGCAATGATATAAGACTGTTGAGATGCACTAGTATTTGTCTGATGCATAACTTGTCCCACCATGCTGCATGATAGCTCTTATGATTTTCATATGAACTGATTGCGGCATGATAAATAAGCTTTTGAGTAACCATATGACGAGAAGAAACAGAGATATACAAAATTCGACATTCTGTAATGAAGGTCATGCATAATGTTTAATTGGTGTTCTTGTTGAAATATGCATTCTTTAAATGACTTATGCTGGAATTATTCCTTCTCTGATTATTCCTAATTTATGTTAGTAGGTACAAGTAGTGTCCACTGGTGTGTGGCATACTATTTTTGGGCATTGTTTGGATCTTGGGAGGAAATAGGAATAGTAAAGGAGTTTAATCACATAAAAAAACTTATAAAAAAAAACTAGGACTAGTAATGGAAAATGCTAAAAATTCCTTGGGGAAGCCTTTCTTGAGCATTTTCCATTTGTAACTTTTCTCGATATTTTCCATTAGAGTGTGTGTGTGTGAACTGAATTTGGGATAAAAAGGGGAAAAGGAAGTAGAAGAAGAACAGCACATTGAAATTGGCTGCACATTAGCAGCCTTGGGCCATGACACTGTCAGCCTTCAACGACATTGGCTGTGGCACTGTCAGCTTGGATATAATTTTCTGAGATATGAACCCAGCCTTCAGATTTCATCCTGGTAGAAATGTCTGGCCCCTTTTCTGCAGATTAAAAAGAAACGGGCTTTTGAAGACTGTGATTAGGCAAGGTTTGATACAAGAGAGATTTTTCATAGCGGTATTGAAGGGAAGTTTCTTCCATATCTTACATATGGAAAGAGAGCTTTAGGAATTATTTAGAGTCTGGGAAGGATAGGACCTCATGACCATGAGTTGAGTCAATTAGCATGTCTTTGTCATGTGAGGGAGAAGGGGATGCTCGTTGAGACCTTTGATAAAGAAGACCAAGCTTAGTGAACCCATGGAACTCTCCGAGTCTTTGGCCTTTAACTATCCCAAGCTGAGGTAGTAGAGAAGATGTCATCTTTGCTTGGTATCCACCTTATACTGTCAACAGAATTAGGAGAGGGGGGAAATCAACGTGGCAGTCTCTGTTTCTATTTTATTTTAGACCCTAAAAGTTGTGTTGTTAGTAGCACTACAATATTTATATGGTGGAGTCACACGTGCTCAATTTTTAATGGAAGATACCTCAGGTTCGGGGGTTCTTTATATGCACGAGACCTTTAATTGTAGAGTTACTGCTATTACTGTGTATAGAAAATTTTCACAAATGAATCAGGTAACATCATAGCCACGGATCGCTAAACACATTTCTGAGACAATTGGCTGAATCCCGTGGAACCATTTCATAGAAGTTAATTGATATCTTCTTTTTATAAAGCAAATCGACTTCGATTCTTGAATAATCCACATCACTTCTGCTTCTACTGTAACAAAAGATTGCTTTTCTACGTGGAAAAGGCTGTATCAATAATTATGATTTTACGTGTAGAGATCAAAAATACTTGGAAATTTTTCCAAGACATGAATAGAAAATATTTGAAAAAAATTCAAGACATGGGATTTGTTTCAATTTCATTAGCACATGTCCTGATGATGGGTTGTCTCTTGGTGATGCCTTTGTTCATCTATAAAAATCTAAGGGCTTTCACAAGATGTTTAAACAACATGATGTGGTTTTGTTTCTTGTTTGGTCACAGGATTTGCGACTCCACTATAACAGGGCCTTTCAAGTCTTCGGCATATCCTGAGATGCTGGCAAGAGTACCTTCAGAAGCTACCTCTTTTTGTCCTTTAGAATAAATCATTTGTAACTTCATAGAGAAAGGATACATAGTATTTCTAAGGAATTGTTCTTCATGATTGTTCTCTGCGTGCTCCTATAATACAATGTTTCACCAGTTTGTTTGATCTTACTCTTGAAAGAGAATAGAATTGGTTTATTTGTTTGGTTTACATTATTCGACCTATTGTCCCCTTCAGCACTTCTATTTAAGCTCTTAACCTTTAACAAATATGATCCATATAGTTGTTACTGATTGTGCCATAAAGATATCCACAATTTTCTCATATGATGGAGAGAACTTGGGAAAAGCACATTTTATAAGATTTTTCTAATTGCAGGAAAGTGGTTGAATAGAAACCCACACGGAAACAAGTCATTATCGTTCTATAACGATACAGCTCCAGGAATGTCTTAGCATCCTTGTGTTTATGGTGTATTCAGTGCTCTTTCTGATTAGTTTTTAGATTAGTTTTTCTTCCTCCTGCGTTCGATTAAGATCGTTATGTGGCATGAATTTGATTCATAATTGATGGTTATTGACATTCTTGTGACACTGGATGAATTAAGCTTGTGTCATGACATAATTTCATTTTTATATCCAACATCTTCATTGTTACTTGTCAGCAGGAAAAATAAATAAGGGGAAAATGCACACAAAGTAGAGAAGCACTATTAGGAGTTAAAAAGTCAGAATCATTGGCCTTCTCTCTCTGATTGAATGATAAATTGGGAAAACAATGTTCTTTTGGAAAATCAGTTTGAAAGTACTGTAAAATTATCAATCACAACCGCTACTTATTAGTAAAGCAAGAAAGTTCTGTATTCCAACAAAGTATCAACTTCTTATGTGCTTCAAGCATTTGTTCCAAAATTATACATCACACGGTACAAGATACTCCTCTGGTTTACCACAGCTTCATAAAATTTCCGAAGAGAGTCGCGAAAAAGGCAACAAGTTGTTAAGTCTCACTGTTTTGTCTGAGAAACTGAAGGTCCTTCATTTGCATCTGCACGGCTTCTTTTGATAAGGGCTTTGGCTCTGGAACGTTGCCTTCTTCACTACCTTCAGCTACTTTCTTTGCCTTGTCTCCGACCATCTTATCTATCTTTGATTGACCAACTGAGGGAAAAACGGCGTTAAGCATGACACGTAGTAATCTCTCATCTTCTTCTTCTACAGGGTCCCTCCCAAAGCAACACACATAAATAGCTTCAAGAGCTTTCTCGGCTCTAATCTCCAATGGGACGGCAGGTGTAGGAACCCTCAGCTTTGCCCGCTTCTGTTGGTGAACATCAAGAACATAATATTTGAGTAGGTTAAAGATAAAGTTGCAATTTCAGAAAGCAAAGATCCAAAATACAAATGAGACATTATGAAACACGCATTGTCTTTCATTGTTATGCTATTGATCACTAACAAAAACTACACATCCTTTCTTAAGGAAGATGGGAAGCAAAAGATTTACTGAAAAAGAAGAGGTGTATTTTCTCACCCTTTTCCAATAGGTATCAATGTTGTTGAACTTCATATATGTTATCTATATAGTTTGCATACCGGAGTTTTTTTGGGTAAGGTAGTTTGCATTTAGAGTCTTCAAACATCTCCAAGCCTTATGTCTAATGGTTAGAAAAACACCACATCACTGTCTTTGTTTGGATTAAATTCTAAATGAAATCATAACATAGTGAGCAGTTGCACAAGTGATAACATGACATGTGCTTTTTATCGTTTGATGTAGACTTGGAGAGAGAGTATTGGAGATTATCCAAATTCGAAAATAAATTGGGAGTTCTTCATACACAAATGGTATGAGACAAATGAAATCAATAGCCAGAACGAATCCAGAAATATCAATAACCAATTGCTCAGCTGGTATTCAGAGGGCTTCCAAGTGACATCGGGTTTAAAGGCAATTAGGATCGGATGCTAAACATCCTAAATATCTTCCTAAATTAAGTTGGACAACCTTTTTTTTTAGCATTATAAGTCCAATGTATAGAAGTAATGGTTCTAAATACAACTAGTTATAATCCACAGTGCCTTGTTCGAATACCCTTGGGGCTACTCCTAGGGAATTTTCCCTGTAATTGCCCTGTACATGTGAGATGGGGGTACTGTGTGTGCCCGGTGGTGAATTATGGGGTGCTCTAAGAGGCCCGACACCGTCATTGTCAAAAAAGAAAGAATTAGCAACTCAGACTCTGTTAGGACATTTCAAGGGGTTCTGAAAATTCTTCTTGTAGTTAATTGAAGACAATTGAAACTAGTTATAAGTCCCTAATGCAACACAATACATGGATCAAAGGATCTGCAAATTCCAATTCTTAAAAGCTTCGACAAATCACATATACTACTAAACAAAACAGGAAATGTTTAATGTGAGATTAACCAACCTCTTTTGCTTCATTCATCATAGAAATAAAATTCTCCTCTTCAAACTCGATATCATTTGAAAGCCGAAGCCTCGCCACCCCTTCCAAAATTTCCTCAGTTTTCAGCAGACCAGCACCAACCGCCGCTAACCAACAGCACAGTAGCACATACAATGGATCCCCTGACTACCCATTAACAAATTCAAACACAACTTAATTCGAACATCAAATGCCTCTTCACAATAGAACAAATAATGATCATGAAACTATACCAGTGAAATAAACAAAAATAATAAATACAATGCATTTCAAAGCCAAACTCAACAATTATGCTATACACACACAAAACACGTATGATTCACATCAAAGCTTAACCAAAGAAGGACGAACTAATACTCCAAATAATGTAACAAATTCAAAAGGTAACAATTTGAAAAATTAAACATATATTGACAAACAAAAAATAATAACTACATGACAATTCAAAGCATAAACAAAGAGGGCAGAACTAACTTCCAAAAAAGAAAAGACAAAAGAAGGCAGAACTAATCCCCCAAACAATGTAAAAAACTTGGAACCAATGATCAAGAAACTATTTAACAGTGATATAAACAAAAACTAAAAATACAATGCAATTCAGAGCAAAACCCAACTTTTATGCATATACATATATATCAACATTTATGCATATATTACTTTTACAGAAAAATCATAATAATAATAAAATCACGCATGTGTGTGTATATATATATGATTCACCATTAGTTTTGAAATTTAATCACATCAAAGCATAACCAAAGAAGGCAGAACCATACCCCAAATAATGCAACAAACCCAAATGTTAACTATAGATTGAAAAATTAAAACAAAAGTTGTAAAAAATTAAAAAAAAAATTTTTAAAAAATGGTAAATTGTCAAATTGGGAAATACTATATATTACCCTGCCTCGCCTATCTCGAAATTCAATGAAAGCTCTCGAGTCGGTGATGTTGCATTTCTTCCCCACCCTCCGCCGGAACTCTGCGAAATCGACGGTGTCGGTGCCGACACCGCCTTCATCGCTCAGAATTCTGGCCACCAGGCCAACAAGGGGCAGTGCACCGATGACCTTGTTGGCAAAACCAGAAATTGAGTTCTCATTCTCCATGTAAGCTCTAATGGATAAGACCCCATTAGAGTTTGATACTTTGGAGGTATTGGGTCTTTTAGGGTTTCTGTAACGATGGCGAAGATAGAGCAGAGAAGGAGAGGTCTGAGCTTGGAGAGAAGATAAAGTGGTAGTGGAAGTCACAACCACCATGGTTTGGTTGGGTGGTAGAAATTAGAATGGTTTAATACTGACCACTCTCTCATATATACTGTGTGTTAGTGTGTGTGTGACACTGTGTGTCAGGTATTATATGGGGAAGGAGGAGTGTTATTGTGTGTTCCAAGCTTATTTCTGCTGTGTGTGTAACCAAACCCAAGTCCAATAAGCATTTTCGTAAGGACAATACTTGGGTCCAACCTGAGTTGGATGAAGTTCATCCAACCTGGGTAAGTGGCCCAATCACATCACGGCACGTGGCGGAAATTAATATAAAATTAAAGTGGATATTATCCATCAATTTCCGGTATAACCCGTTTCTATTTCATGAAACCCATTTCGTCGTCAATCTTTCCTCCTTCCTTCTCTCAAGTGCTCCACCTTCGGCTGCCTCAGATCCGATTCTCGTTTGGGGGCGGTTGGCGAAGAAGTAACCAGGGTTGAAGCCGGCGGTGTAGTTCGGTGTCGCCGAGGTGGTCTAAGAAGAGCATGAAGAGGATAGATCGAGTGGTGGTGGATTGGTGGCTGTTCAGTTGACTCGACAGAGAGGCAGAGCCACGGTCGAATCCGGAAATCCCGGCAGGTTAACGGCAAGATAAGAGAGAACAGTCGACGCCTTCACGGCGCAGAGAACGGAGAGGTTGACGAAGACCTGAGAAGAAGGGGCGCGTGTGCGCGTGACGGCGAGTTGCCGGCGAAGTTCAGTCCGGCGATGAATCAAGTATGGCAGATAGTTACATGGATGCTCCTCGAACTGGCGTCGTCTTTTTCCTCCTCGAACTGTGGCCGACGGCGAGCTCGAGCTCGAGCTCTACGAATCTCAGGCTTTGGGGAAAGAAAATGGAGGCTAAGGAGTTGCAGTCACGGTGCTCTGAATTGATGATTGGGGTTGTGAATTGGTGGTTCGGGGCTGCTGTTTGGTTGCTTGATTTGGTTGTTGGAGTTTGAATTTGGGTGTTGATTGCCATAGGTGGCTGAATTTTGTGTTTGCAGGCCAACTTTGTGATTGGGTGGTACTTGTTTTGGGGATTGAAGATGCAACAAGCCAAAAAAACGATGAGTTTGATGTGGAGAGTTCTGAAAATTGGGGATGGAGAGTAGGAACGGGTTATACCCGAAAATTAATAGGTAATATCCACTTTAATTTTATATTAATTTCAGCCACGTGTCGTAACGTGATTAGGTCACGTATCCAGATTGGATCATTTGGACCAAGTATGGTCCTTTTCATAAGTCATAAGAAATAATCATTCTTCATTTTTCTCCTTTGGTCCATTTAATAATGTGTTTGGATTCTCTGAAAAGATCATTTCCTTATTTCACAATTAAATTTTATTTATTTTTAGAGAGTCTGCTAAATTTGCAAATGGTGTTAAGTAAATGTAAGGATGTCAATTTGCTCGCTTTGATGGGACTTGTCCAATTTCGTACTATAGTTCATTTAAATTGTGTTAGAAGCGAATTTAAAAATGAGAATAAATTTTTTTTTTTACAACTTGTTTTATTTAGTTTTAAATATATATAAGTAGATATTTTATAATTTGTTTTTTTTTTTTTTTTATCATCTTAATATTTTTCATAATTTTCTTGGATATGTAATCATTTAAGTTATATATATATATATATATATATATATATATGGTTATAATAGTTAAACATTTTGTTATATTTAAAAAGTTTTTTAAACAAATTATCACGAATTTTGATATTGTTGTTTATATTTGTTTGGGTAAAGTACAGCCACACCCACTGAGATTTGGTAAAATAACATTTAGAGAAAATTTACTTTTTTTTTTGGATAAAGACATCCCCTGAAGGTTCAAAAATAGACAAAGGCATCCCTTTACATGAAAAATTGACCAAATTATCTTTTGACCTTTTATGAGACTTTTTTAACCTTACAATTTAATAAATTGGACCAATCTACCCTCATGAATAATTTATGCATAACAAAAAAATAAAAATAAAAACTTCTTTTTTTTTTTTTTTTTTTTTTTTTTTTTTTTTTTTATACATGTCCCAACTTCTTAAAAATGTAGACATCTAAAATGATTTTTTGATTCAATACATATATTTCAAATAAATTATATTTTGTTATTACTTTTTTTCTTTTTCTTTTTTATTTTTAAATTAAGATACTTAATTCTTTCATCTAAAAAAATTAAACCAATCTCTTTTCCTTAAAAATAAAAAATATAATACCATTATAATTTTATGCATCTTAAAGTATATATCAAATATTATGCATTTCCCAACATAATAGAAAATAGGTACCAATATAACTTTTTGCATGCTTTTTTTTTTTTTTTTTTTTTCCCTTTGTTTTATTATTATTATTTTTTCCCTTTTATGTTGGGAAATGCATAATATTTGATATATAATTTAAGATACATAGAGTTATACTGGTACCATATTTTTTATTTTTAAGGAAAATAGATTGATTTAATTTTTTTAGATGAAAGAATTAAGCATCTTAATTTAAAAATAAAAAAATAAAAAGAAAAGAAGTAATAACAAAATATAATTTATTTGAAATATATGTATTGGATCAAAAATTTATTTTAGACGTCTACATTTTTAAAAAGTTGGGACATTTATAAAGTAAATAACAAAAAAAAAAAAAAGTGAACAATATAAAATTTTTTCTTTTTTTACTTTTTTTTTCATGCATAAATTGTTCATGACGGTAAATTTGTCCAATTTATTAAATTTAAAAGTTAAAAAAGTCTCTTAAACGGTCAAAGGATAATTTGGTCAATTTCTCATATAAAGGGATGTCTTTGTCTATTTTTTAACCTTCAGGGAATGTCTTTATTCAAAAAATAGATAAATTTCTTCTCACTATTTTTTTGCCAAACCTCAGGAATTATGGCTGTATTTTACCCTATTTGTTTAAATAAGACATTCGAAACTATCTTGAACTCCGCAGCGGAATAGATGAGTTTAATAAAATATATTGGTATAAAGTACTTAAAAATGTATTTGACTCAGTGATATAATCTCTCTATCTTCTTCATAGGGGTGAAAAGAAGTTTGGACAAAAAAAAAATGTTTCTATGCTTTACCACTAAAAAACAAAATCTACTAAATTGGTATAAAGCACTTTGTATTTATAGCATACACACTAGGTTAATGCATCACTAATGCTTCGGTCTCTTTTTGTTGGGTTGACTCAAAGAGAGTACAACGAGGGATGGAATTATATGTTTTCTAAATTGCTTTTGCTTTCTTTTCCTCTAGTTATTAAGATGTTTCAGTTCATTAGGTTATTTCTCATCTACCTATTTTTATAATTTCACTTAAATATGTAATGTGATGAGACAGCTGAATGATTCAGCATCAAGGTGAGAATCATTCATTTTATGGGAAAAATTCAACCTACGACGATTTCCATTTAAAGAAGAAAGGACGGATTTAGGGTGGCCCAAAATATATATTTTGCTAGAGACAATTTTAGCCCAATTTAAAAATAATAATAAAATTATATATATATTAGTAGTATTAGCCCACCCAAAAAATTATTAGCTTACACCATTGATAATTTCTGAATCCGCGCTTGTGAGAAGCCATAAAGAAGGTGGTCATGGAGCCAATCTTTGCCCGTAAAAAGAGTTTTTGGGTTATTTAAAAAGACATTTGGGGTCCAAGCCCCTTTCCTGAGGGTTCCCTCTTGATTCTTTTCTTTCAATATACAAACAATATAACACGTATAGGCTACTACCATGACTTGTAAATGGTGAGAGAATCCGGTGAGATTGCACCGAAGCTGCACAGGCAATGAGATTTGAGGTGGGCATAAGGTTACTGATAATCGGTTCGTAAAATATGTTAATTCATACAGACACATTCGATTTTTTTTTTTTTTTTGGATATGAATAGTGAATAACGTTAAATCTCTGACACTGAGATAATGATATTTTTCTTAATTCTTCATTTCAATCTGTTCCTTTTCTTTCAAATATGTGTATATTTATAGTTGGTTTAGCCAGATGTTGCGAGTTTATAGCCAGTTTCTTCAGAGCCTTTTCAGGCTTCTATAACCATGCATTGAACCATGTTTCTTCCTTTTCCGGCGTCGCATTGTTACTTTATCGGCCTCACACAACACGATTTCTTTCTCTTTCTCAATAGAAAATCAACCACGAGCCGATCACATTGTTGGTTTATACTATTACAAAATTAAATCCGCCATCTTATCGGCAATTTGGAGATAAATTAATTTTATCAACATTAGATGAATGGTTAAACACAATGACCTCTCTCATTAGGTATGTCCTCAATCACTCCGGTAAAACTTTTCAAATTTTGTACATGACCTTCCGGCCACCCGAATTAGCTTTATCGTAGTTAAGTTTTGGAGTGACTTAACCATAATACTCCCAATATGAAAGAACTTATTAATGTTAGAATCCTGTCATATTTGATAATTTTATTGTACCCATTGCTTTTTTTGAGGCTTGAATCCACGATCTTTCTTTGAGAAGTAAGGGTTTGATACCGCTAGCTAGGCCACTAGCCCGTTGGTAACTGAACCTACTATACACACAAAAGAAAGTTTTTTTTCTTAGATTGTGTTCAGTTTGTATAGAATTAGAGATTTGAAATTGAAATTTGTGAAATTGGAGAAAAATAACTTATAAAATTGAATCAAAATTTTTTCTAATTCCACCAATTATGATTCCAAAATTTCAATTTCATACCTTGCCGGAAATAGAAAACTTGAGTCTATTTCTAACACTCAATCAATATATGCATTAGGACCGTCACCAATAGTTGTACCTCTCTAACATATCCAAAATCACACACACATACACATCAATTATTGCCCCTAAGAGATAGACTTGATTGAACCCCTTAATTTTGTACAGTATTTGGTAAGAAAAAAATTGATGCTATTTGAGTCAAAGAGTAAAGTGGTAACTCTTCCACTTTGGAAAGAGAAAAAAATCATTCTATTTCTAACACACAATCAATGCATAGGAACAACCACCAATAGTTGTATCTGTAACATACATATCCAAACTCAAACACAGACTTGATTGAACCCTTAATTTTTTTTATTTGGCAAGAAAAATTGATACCATTTGATCCAAAGACTCGTGTAGTAACTCTCTATCTTCTAAAACAAAGTGCCAAGAGAAAAAAGAAAAAAGAAAAAGAAAAGATCAGACTATTTCTAGCACTCCATCAATGCATAAGAACAATCACTAATATTTGTATGTCATCTACTTCAAGTCCCTAATTAAAAAAAAAAAAAAAAAAAAACTCGTGCATATGTATATCATATATGTGAGCATTACTTGTCATAATAATAACAATTGTAATAATAACTGATGCTATCCCATCACAAAGAAACTGTAAGTAACAATGAAATCAATAATCAACCATATATTTGAATGCAGTCACAAATTTACTGCTGCAATTAAGAAGCTAACAAAAACCAAGGCAACTAATGTTATTCGATCTATCCCTAAAAAAGTAAATCCTGGACTGTAAAATTATTTACACAACTCAATTTTTTTTTTTTTTGTTTTGATGTCTAGCTAAACAAGTGATGCATTTGGGAGCTGCACCTCAGACGGCTTCACGTCATTGCCTTTCTTTGGTCCCTTGCGGTAATAGGCATATAGTATGAGCTGCACAGCACCGGATAGTGCTCCAAGACCATTTGAAATCTGTAATATATATATATATATATATATATATAATAGAAGACAACAAAATAATGTAGTTAGTTAGTAGGTGAATAAATACCATAACATAATTAAGGTGGTCATCAATCCATATATAATGTAACAACATGTATTAATGTTAATTAAACTAGCTAGTAATATTGTACCATGCATATTCAGAATATATATATATATATATATATATATATATATATATATATATATATACACTCTAGCTAGCTAGCTGCAAAAATAATGACAACAGTGAGTTTGCGGAGAATGAATGATTATTAGAACGTACAAGGATGAAGAGGTCAAACTTGAGGAGGGCATAGACGAGCCAGATAGCTCCGTTCAAGAAGCCAGCCACCGAGAGCCAAAGTGGCATAAATTCCACGCTCTTCGTCTTGATAACTTTTCTCTGGATGTTCAAAATTAATGAAAGCAAAAATTAATAATAATATTAATAGAGGATATATAGCTAGGATCAATATATATCTATATCTGTGTATATATATATATATATATTTAAAAAATCGATACTTACCATGACTGAGAGAGGGGAAGCGTACATTAGCACTCCGAAGATGACACAGAAGATTCCCACAAACAGGGATCTCTTAGGATGAGTGTGAAAGCCCAGAAGGGTTGCCACAACCACAGCTGCAATGAATGCCAACTCAGCCGCCAACAACCAAAGTACAACCCTCTGAAATAATAGACATAGACATAGACATACAGACAAATTAAAAGTTGATATATAGCTATTTAATTACTACTGTATTTAACTAGATTATTATTATTATTATTATTATTATTATTATTATTATTATATTTTTAGTTGGTATTCACATACACATGTTTGTTCTGAAACTTAAACTCCTAACCTTCTTTTGAAAAGTAAGAGGCGCTACGCTAGCCCGTTGGTTAACTAGACTCTTAATTAATGTGGTTATATATATATATATATATATATACTATACTGTGTGTAAAAACAGGCACATAATATATATTTGCTAAATTGAATTAAGTAGGTACCCTTTTTCCTTCTCCACGATATAAGAATATGGAAAGATATAAGAGTTCCAATGCAAGGCCAATGCTGTTGATGGTGACCACAAGAGTGCTGTCTGGATGAACAACTGGTATTCCATAAAATATCCAAAATAGGCAATTCATCACTGTCGCAACATACGGTAGTGCACTGTACTCCTCTACTGATTTTTTCCTGTGGATCCTCAAAAATGTTGGTCTGCAAATCCCCATTCATTCGTTTAGGTTAGTCACCCGCCCCATAAATCATAAAATTAAACATATGTATGTGTGTGTGTGTGTGTGTAGATCGAGAGAGAAAGAGAGTTTACTTACATTGGTGCCGCAAACAGACCGAAAGATATGACATTCCCTGCAGAAAAACAAGGCATTATTTAGTTACTGCATTGAAAATAAACTTCACACAACTTAGCTAGTTTCGATGAAGTAATAAACATAGAATAGATATATATATAATATGCTTAGCTTACATCAAACTAGTACTCCCATCAGAAACAAGTAATAATCAGACCATTTTTCATGCATACGCAGATTCAATAAAACTAATGGGAAATTATTTATTTTACTTTACATTATACGAAAACATGTTAAACAAACGCGTGTTTGCTTTACCATTAGGGAAGGAAAAAAAATGTTAAACAATAATTAATTTATTAATTAATTATATTATAATAAATAACAATAGATTATTAGCCAAAGTTAAAACACAATTGATAATTTCTGATTTTCTATAACATTGCCTTTTCTCGGTAACCAAACTGCATTCAGAAACAAATCAAAATCATCATAAGAGTTCGAGTTCATGCATGTAATATATATATATACACGTACACACACAAGATTGATGAGATTGATATAAAAAAACACTACAAAACGAATATATCAATCAGATAAAAGAACTCAAAACATAATTTAGTTCTCGTAGAAGAAAACTTAGACACTGAATCAGAAACTACAAATTTTCATGTAACTTTCCAGAAAAACGAACAGCATGCAGTCTCTCTTTAACACAAATTACAAACCATATATATATAAACCACAAATCTACGTTCATGATTAGCCATATAAACCTCAAACAACTATATATATATATATATGTATTCAATTAAAGAGAATTGAAGAGAAAAGGAGGTTTGAAGTTGGTACGTACCGATGATGCCGACGGCCGTACGAATTCCTTCTACGTTCACCATCTTTGCAACGAAAGCAAGTTACGAGAGAGAATCTTAGAGAGAGAGAGGGTGGTGAAAGTGTGAGCTATCATGTGGGGATGAAGCGAGTTAAATAGACAAACTCAAAATACGTACGAGTTCCAGTTGGAAATAAAGAGCTAATGAGACATACTCAAACTACAATTTGGAGTTGTTTTTTTTTTTGTTTTGTTAAAATCAATTTGGAGTTTGGAAAGCTATCTAGACCGTAAAAAAGTACTTGCAAATTGGAATTGGAAAGTGGTAAATAATATCCTAGCGTTAAATATAATGACTTAGGCATAAAATATTTTTATTTTCTAGATAAATTGTTTATGCATTTTTTATTTTAAAATACTTGGCAAAGCCCTAAGTCGAGGGAGCCGACGTAAAATAATTTATCAAAAATTAATAATTAAATCTAAATAAATTGAGATAAAACAAAATTTGATATGAGAAAAATATAAAGAAAATAAAATGATAAACTACATGTAAAAAGAGAAGTTGTAGAAGAAATTTTGTTAAATAATTATGTTTCTTTAGTAATTGATTCAATTTTAATAAATTCAAATTTTTGAACCAAAAAAAAAAAAAAAGTAGTTTGATTCCAATTTTAATTAATGAAATATTAAAATATATATATCATTTTATCTAAACAAAACATGGCAAAATTTTACATGATTGACAACTAAATGTATATAGGAATAGCTATAAAATTTGTCACATTACTTCACAACTAAAACATATTAGATTATATGGTGTCAATTATAAAAAAAGTTGTTGGTACCATTAAACTTAAGTTTTTAATTTTTTCCAATGCTCTCAAGAATTCTTGAAGGAAGATTGATTAATTAGAATCATTTATTTTTATCTAGTGTAAATCCTCTGCCATCCTAGACTTTCTAGGATTTGAAAAAGGAACCCTTCTTGTGAGGTACCTTGGTGTACCATTGGTTACTACAACGCTGAAAGCAAATAACTGCAGATCCCTAGTTGATAAAATTACATGCAGAATTGCATACTGCACAAACAAGAACCTTTCATTTGCAGGTAGATTACAACTCATTAGGGCAGTCCTATTCTCAACCCAAATGTATTGGAACTCTAAATTCATACTACCAATGAGCATTATACATGAACTTGAAAGTATTTTTGGTGCATTCTTGTGGTCTAGTCCAATCCTCTAAAAGACAGGTGCTAAAGTTGCTTGGGACAAATGTTGTCTCCTAAAAGAGCTGGGGGTTTAGGTCTCCCTAATTTGCACACATGGAATGAGAGTGTCATTATGAAGCATTTTTGGCATATTATCAGCTCAAAGGATATGCTATAGGTTAAATGGATACATATATGTCTTCTCAAAGTCATGAATATTTGGGATGTCAAAGTTCTTGGTCAATATTCTTGGAGCTGGAGAAGACTGCTTGGCCTTAAAGATACAATCTTTCCCCCTGTCAAGATAAAAATTGGTGATGGAACTTTAGCCAATTTCTAGTTTGACAACTGGTGCTCTCTTGGTCCTCTTCACCAACAAGTTCTTCCTTATCAAAGGGCTGAAACTGGGTTTGATAGCATGACCAAAGTCAGTGCATTCATCACCTCCAACACATAGTCCTTCCCAACAGCCATCCTCAACATCTTGCCACAGCTATAAAACATTGACACAATGCCAAATCCCAATCTTAACAGCAGATATAAGTACATTTGGCTCCCCTCCAACTCCAGCCAGTTCTCCATCTCAAAAACAATGAATTAATCATTACAACCATCATTTCCCTACCCTTCCTTGGCCTCATCTAGCTAGTCTGGTCTAAGCCATCCATACCCAAACATTCCTTTACACTTTGGGTTGCAATCCAGCACAAACTTCCAACTCTCAACAGAAGGTGTACAACACACATCAATTCAACAATGTGTATCCTTTGCAACACTGAACCTGAATCACATGATCACCTAATTTTCTCCTGTTCCTTTATTAAACCCTTGTGGCACTTTCTATAAGAACGTTGTGGGTACTATATCTAGCCTTCCTCTTGGGCAGGACTCATTGTTTAGGCATCACACCATTGGAGGGGAAATTCAGAATTTTACAGCAAAACAATCTCTAAAATGGGATTATCATCCCTAGTCTACCATGTCTGGAATGAGAAGAACAGAAGAATCTTCAAGAAAAAAACACTTAATGCCAATTCGATCCTCCACGTCACTTTGGAAACAATCCGGGCAAAGCTCCTCTCCTCTGCAATCTCTGATTCCCTCAATGCCAACAGAATTGCAATGGAATGGGAGCTTCCTGAATCAGTGATTCGTCCCCCGAAAAAGCCACCAGACTTGAGGAGTTGGGATACTCTTACCATTGCTGGAATCATTCTCCATGATCGCCGGATTGCTGTGTTGTTCGATCTTCACAATCATACATTCGTGTTTGTTGGGCTGTTGTTTGGGCTCTAATGCTTTATTTTTCCCACTGGGCCTTTTGGGCTGTACTTGTATACTTTTTCTGTAGTTAGCATTGGGCTAACTCCTTGGGCTGTACTTGTTCCTTTTCTATATTGAATGTTAAACTTTAACTTTCAAAAAAAAAGATCAATTAATTAGCTATAGATATTTATTTTGTAAACACAACCTAACGTACAAAAATATCTGACAAGTTTCTTGTATTTTTATTAAAGATGAAGAGACATTAGTGTAATTTTTCCTTTTTCTCTCTTGAATTCAAATAATAAATACATGTGGTATTCAGAATAGAAAAAAGAAAAAAAAAAATATATATATATATATATACACACACATGTGTTTATATAAATGTAAATGGAGTATTGAGATATTACATTAAATACTACAAAATAATATTTATCTTCGACAATATTTGGATTTCAAAAATAAGGCTAAGATGTTCAAGTAAAAGTTTTATAAGTTTTAAGGGAAACAAATTATATTTATTTTGGGGGGCAATTACATTTTATTTACAAAATATCTATTTTTGTAGGGGTACAAATTAAATTTCAATACCCTTTGATAACTTCCTACCTAGTACCCCAACCAATGATATTCTTTTCTTTCCCATGATAGTAGGAAACCACAATGACGTACATGCAAATCGTTTCAAATTTGCTCTGTTGCATTTTTAATAAGGATGCGAGTACGTGCAAATCACTTACTTTGGTGGTGAATTGGACATCGTAGGCATCGATTTTTGGGATGATTCTCTTCAATTTTGGAGGAGTTCTCATCGACGTAGAGTGTTTGGTTGTTTTTTTCAAGGGAATTCCACTGGTTAGTTTCCTGGGTCAAAGGTTACACAGATGACAAAGGTGTAATGACCCAGTCATTTTGCTTCTTTTCCTTTTTCTCAAAATTTTTTCCATTGAATTTTCTTTTCCGAGTTCGGTTTTTCGTCACTTGGTGTCGTCTCGAGTGCTTGGGAATAGTTTCCTAGACTCTTTCCTTTGGATTGACAATTTCCTTAAAGGACCGCATCATTTTCACATTTTAATTTTTTTTTACACTATTCACTTTCCGTTCTTTTCCCTGTATGTCAATATTTTGGCACAACCTCACTTTTCGCTTTCAAAGTTGTTTTTTGACTTCACGAGTTTTCATTTCAGTTGATTTTCTCGAAACGCGTTACTTTACTTTTGGAGAAAAGCTCGCCGGTTGTTCCTTTTTTCCGCAAGTCGGGGCGTGGATAAAAGGATTCTTCATAAATATTTATGTTTCCTGTGGTGTTTTTCATAAATATCTTTTGGAAATATTTTGGTTAGGGGTTTTTAAGAAAATATCCTTTGGAAGATATTTTCATCATGGGCTAGTTTTACGGTTATCCCTTTTTGTAGGGGTCATTGTGCAATTAACAAAAGTTATTGCAAAATGCCTCATTTTGAGCCTGAATCCTCGTATGGGATTCATTTTCACTTTTCGTCGAGTTGCACACTCTTAGAATTGTCTTCTGGTCGTTTTCCTAATTTTAGGGTTTCTGACCCCGGTTTCTGCCGAACTTGTTCGGGGCATATCTTTCTACACGGGACTCGATTTTCGACGTTGTTTCTTCCGTTATTCATTTTTTTTTCAATACTATTCTTTTTCATTGATGGTGTTTTACCGTTTGAGCGCGTTTACGCAAATTCCATTTTTCTGGACCTGGCGGGACCCGTTCGAGGTACGTTTAGGGTTTTTCTATAAAGTGAAAAGTCAACTTTCTTTTCCTCATTCTCTCTTGGCCGGCCATCCATGGTAGCCCAGCTGCCAACTTCTTTCTTCTTTTTCGGCTTCTTCCTCTTTGATTTTTTGCCTCGATGTCTAAAGGTTTATTATAGGACTTGGCGAGGCCGTCCTTTCTCCTCTATTAGAATTCGTTTTCGACCATTTTTGAGTTTGGATTTTGAGTTCGGGTTTGGATTTTGGTGATACCTCAAGGGTGATTCTTTTTTCCCTCGTTGTCCCTGACATAATCCCGAAGTATTGTCGGATTCGGAGCGGTTTCTTTTTGGTGGGTTTTGAGATCAATTTCATCTCAAATGGAAGTAGGGGATGTTTTAGGTTTATATAATTGTTGTATTGATTATTTTCTAAGCTTATACAACTTGTATGCATGCCTAAGTATTTTATCTAGAATTTAATTTAATTATTTTCTATGTATAAGATTTAATTCATATGGTTGTATATAGCTTGGAATTAAATTGTAGCATGTTATTAAATTAGGCCTTGATTTGTTCATTAACATATATTAAATTGAGAATAATTAAATAAGTTTTTAGACTTTTATTTAATTATTTTCTTGTATGAAAGTTTAATTCACCTAGTTGTATCTAGCATGGAATTAACTTGTGATATACTTTTAAATTAAGTCTTGACGTGTTCTTTAACATACTTTAACTTGAGAGTATTTGGATGAATTTAAAAATTTAGAGATTTTAATTAAATAAATTAATTAAAATCTATTTAATGGTTCTATTGACTTGATTAAGTTTTTAACTTTATATTGTAATGATTAGGACTTGTTTACT